GTACTTACTTACTTACGCCTGTTACCCCAAATGGAGCATAGGCCGCCCACCAGTTTTCTCCAACCAACTCTGTCCTGGGCTTCCTCTCCAGTTCTGTCCAATGTTTGTTCATTCCTCTCATATCTTTCTCTATTTCTCGGCGTAATGTATTCTTTGGCCTTCCTTTTTTCCTTTTGCCTTGAGGGTTCCATGTGAGGGCTTGTCTCGTGACGCAGTTAGGTGCTTTCCGCAATGTGTGTCCTATCCACTTCCACCGCTTCTTCCTGATTTCCTCCTCCACTGGAATCTGGTTTGTTCTCTCCCACAGTTCGTTGTTGCTGATGGTGTCTGGCCAACGAACCCGAAGTATTTTGCGTAGACAACTGTTAATAAACACTTGTATCCTCTGGATGATGGCTTTGGTAGTTCTCCATGTTTCCGCTCCATACATTAGAACTGTCTTGACATTTGTATTGAAAATCCTGATTTTGCTGCTCATTGATATCTGTTTGGAGTTCCAGATATTTTTCAACTGTAGAAATGCAGCCCTTGCTTTGCCAATCCGTGCCCTCACATCTGCATCGGATCCACCTTTCTCGTCGATGATGCTGCCCAGATATGTAAAGGTGTTAATGTCCTCCAAGGTATCTCCATCAAGAGTGATTTGATTGGTGCATGTTGTGTTGCATCGGAGAATCTTGCTTTTTCCTTTATGTATGTTGAGACCTACTGCTGCAGAGGCTGCTGCTACACTGGTCGTCTTCTCTTGCATTTGTTGTTGAGTGTGCGATAGAAGAGCCAAGTCATCTGCGAAGTCCAGATCGTCCAGCTGCGTCCTAACTGTCCAGTTGATACCGTGCTTCCCTCCAGATGTTGACGTTTTCATAATCCAGTCGATGACCAGGAGAAAGAGAAAGGGTGAGAGTAAGCAACCTTGCCTGACACCGGTCTTCACCTCGAAAGAGTCGGTTAGCTGTCCTCCGTGCACGATTTTGCAGTTGAATCCATCATAAGAGTTCCGTATGATGTTAACTACTTTCTCAGGCACCCCGTAGTGTCGAAGAAGAATCCACAGTGTTTTCCTGTCCACGCTATCGAATGCTTTCTCGTAGTCAATGAAGTTGATGTAGAGTGGTGAGTTCCATTCAATTGATTGTTCCACAATGATCCGTAATGTAGCAATTTGGTCAGTACACGATCGATCCTTCCGAAATCCGGCCTGTTGATCTCGAAGTTGGGCGTCTACGAAGTCCTTCATTCTGTTTAACAATACCCTGTTGAAGACTTTGCCTGGTATTGAAAGAAGAGTGATGCCTCTGTAGTTCTCACACTTGCTGAGATCGCCTTTCTTTGGTATTTTGATGAGGTATCCTTCTTTCCAATCTGATGGTACTTGTTCCTCATCCCAAATCTTCTTGAAGAGGATGTGAAATATTTTCGCGGTTGCTTCTACATCTGCTTTCATTGCCTCTGCTGGAATGTTGTCTGGTCCTGCTGCTTTGCCGTTCTTGATTTGTCTGATGGCCATACTGATCTCCTCAATCGTAGGTGCGCCAATATTAATTGGGAGATCCGTGGATGCTGCTTCGATGTTGGGTGTGTTCAGTGGAGCTGGTCGATTCAATAGTTCCTGAAAGTGCTCTACCCACCTATTTCGCTGTTCTTCAGTGTTGCTGATTACTTTGCCTTCCTTGCTTTTCACTGGTCGTTCTGGTTTACGATAGTTCCCGGCGAGCTTCTTTGTAGTTTCGTACAATTGTCTCAAGTTTCCGTCTCTTGCAGCCCTTTCCGCCGTCGTTGCTAGATCTTCCACGTATTTTCGTTTGTCAGCTCTGATGCTCTTCTTCACTTCCCTGTTTGCTTCTGTGTATGCAGCTTGTGCGGTAACTTTCTCTGCTCTTGTTCGGCTGACATTGATTGCTGCTTTCTTGTTCCTCCTTTCTTCAATTTTTGCAAGAGTATCAACAGAGATCCATTCCTTGTGATGCTGCTTCTTGCGACCAAGGACCTCCTGACATGTTGAAGTGATTGCCTCCTTAATCCCTTTCCAATTGTTCTCCAATGTTGCGTCCTCTCCATTGTGTAGATCCTGAAAGGCCTGGAACCTATTGGTGAGGGCTATCCTGAATTCGTTGAGCTTTACAGTATCCCGAAGAAAGGCCGTATTAAACTTGTGTGATGTTGTCTGTCCTGTTGTCCAGTGCTTCTTTAGCTTCAGTTTCATTTTGGCGATTAGCAAATAGTGATCTGAGGCTACATCAGCTCCTCTCCTGGTTCTCACATCCTCCATAGTCCTTCTGAACGTTTTGTTGATACAGATATGATCAATCTGGTTTTGAGTAGTGTGATCCGGTGAAATCCATGTGGCTTTGTGTATGCGTTTGTGCGGGAATATTGTGCTATCGATGACCAGTTTGTTGAAGGCACATAGGTTTGCAAATCTCTCACCGTTTTCGTTTCTTTCTCCCAGTCCATGTCGTCCCATGATGTCTTCATATCCAGTGTTGTCCATTCCAACCTTGGCATTCAGGTCTCCCATAAGAATCGTCAAATCCTTTGGTGAACATTTCTCGACGATTGATTGCAGCCTTTCGTAGAATTGATCTTTGTCGTCGTCATTGTAGTCGTTGGTAGGTGCATAACATTGGATGACGTTCATTGTAATGTCCTCTTTCTTTGTTTTGAAGGATGCTTTAATGATCCTGGGTCCATGAGATTCCCATCCTATCAGTGCCTTTTGTGCATGTTTGGACAGCATCAATGCAACTCCTTGTGTATGTGAAGCATTTTCCTCTTCATGACCAGAGTATAACAGCAGTTCCCCTGAAGCTAGTCTCAGTTGTCCTACTTGTGTCCAATGTGTTTCACTGATTCCAAGCACCTCGAGGTTGTATCTTTTCATTTGTGCCGCAACTTGAAATAGTCTTCCAGTCTCCCACAATGTACGAACGTTCCATGTACCTAAAAAAATGGTTGCTCTGGTTGTCAGAAGAGGCATCAGCCCCGTGACTTCCGAGGGATCTCGGCTTTCATCACGCGACGTCATAATTCTTCCTCCAACTCCCAGGGCAGAGTTAAAATGGTTTGAATTATTTTTTCTGGTTAGCGTTTTTTTGGCAAGTTAGTTTTTGACGGAATGGGGTCGCCAACCCCATGTCCAACCCTCCTCCTTTACCCGGGCTTGGGACCGGCAGTAGCCCCGAAGGTTCTACTGGCGGAGTTATATTCCATAAGCGCAAATGTCAAAAAGAAAAGAGTAGATGTTCGTAGGTTACTAGTATTCGATCATAGATGTTTGAGAAGCATTGCTCGTATATCATGGGACAACAGAGTAAGCAATGCTGTCGTTAGGAAACGGGTGCTAGGTAAGGATGGCAGATCAATAGATGAAGTGGTGAAACTTCATCAGTTGAGGTGGTAGGGACGTGTTACGAATGCCTAAAGCAAAGACTACCTCGACGAGCGATGTTTTGTGGTGTAGCTGTAGGTTGGAAGAAAGTTAGGGGCGGCCAAACCAAAACATGGCAGAAATCCATGAAGTCACTGACAACTGGACTGAGTCATGTTGGTAGATGTAGGCTACCTGATTGGGGTCGGCGAGACGTAAGTCACCGATGGTTAGAGACCTTGAACGACGTGGTTCAAAATCGTTTGCAATGGCGCAGGTTCATCCACTCTTTATGTCCTCTCAAATTCTAACGTGAATTCCTCATCATCTCTATCTTTCTCTTTCCAACTTTATCTCTCTGAATTATATCTTAATCTTCTCCATTACTACTAATACTTCTACTATTGGTACCACTGTTGGATTTGAACTGACAGTTGCGTCTCTGTATTAATCAGGTATGGCAACCTGAACTGATGTGTATCTCTCTCTCTCATTACTGCTGGATGATAAATAGTCATTTCCATAGAGACTGTAGGAAAACGTTATAGCAATTAGTCAGTAATATGTCGGGCACTATTTTACCGAGTGTTTGTTTGTCCTTTCGAAAATAGTGAGTCCATACTTTTATTGATAAACTAGTCATAGAAATTAAATGCAATCCGGTATGAGAGTATGAGTTCCGTAAGGAAAGAAAGTCTTAGTTAGATTTCCAGTAAGATAATAAAGGTGCAAACTCTTAAGATAAACGTTAAAAAATTGCAATAGTTAACATTTTTATTTGAATGAACTGTACCAAAACTTACCAGACCTTCCAAAACCAATAATTTCAGCTATCGGTTTCGGTGTTTCCTCAAATGACTCCACTAAGAAATCGTTTGGAGGAGGCCATGCCTGTAACACAACTGCAGCTGCACCTTCAGATAATACAAATCCTTTTCGTAAGGAATCAAATGGACGAGAGGCTTGTTCAGGAGTATCATTAAACTGTGTACATAGTGCACGTAGTCGAGAAAAAGCAGCGATTGTCCATGCATTCAAGGGAGATTCACATGCACCAGCAACGACCAGATCAGCTTCGTTATTTTGAACTAATGAAATACGAAACAAAAATAAATCGTTGGTTAATTAACACTTAAAGCAAACAAGGGGATGAATATGACTCGTGGTTACTAAATTAAAGGCGTTATTTTAATTTCTAATTTATGTTTTCCCAGGGGTTTTATCTGATAGGTCTTACTTTATTATTTTTAGTGTGACCATCTTTAACTCTTGTTTATTCTACTCTATCCATAATCTATCCGTTTATATCATCATATTCATACTATATATAAAAAGATGATGATTGTGGATTTATAACATCCTTTAACCATAGTAACTGATGAATAATCAGTTTCGTAAACTAAGTTAAGTCTTTTACCGAAGATCATATGATGAACTAAATTGCTTGCTTAGCGGTTTTAGTACAGACATTGGAGGTATTGTGTAGACGACATTAGTTGTAGAATGTCTGTAACATTTTGACGGAATCATCGTTTAACAACTATGATGCATTAAAAAAACTCCCAGTTCTAGCAACCAATTACATACTGACTGTGCATTTGAAACCACTTAAAAAGCACTTACTCATCCGGAAACCTTCACCAATGCAATGTAGACCAGCAGCGCATGCAGTATTGACTGTCATACACGGTCCACGTAATCCCCATATTCGACTTAGTATGCCTGATGGAATATTACCGAGTGTTCGTGTTAAAGCATGAGGCCCAATAGTAGAGTATTTTTTGGCCAAAATTCCTGATGACGTATTCATAACTTCATTAGGACCGTCCAAACCCACTCCAAAACAAATACCTAAAGTTGTACTACAAAATTATTAGCAAAACAACTCTCGAGCCATTAGTTAACTTAAAATATTTATACCAATATTTGAAATACGATATACGAGTAAATTAGTAATTATAACCTATTGCTAGTTTATTAATCCAAATGTTAATAGATACAAACAAGTAACCATGTGCAGATTCGTGTATACGTCTGCTAAACTACCAAGATATTGGAACCAGAGTGAGTGGGGAGAAATTCAGACCAATAACCTAATGATCGTTTTAAGATAACCGACGACTTCGTTGGGACTTTCTATTTAGATGGACGTGAAGTAGTAGAGATAAAATAAGATAAAATGATATACATAAGTGAGTTTTGAAAGAGTATTGTTAAAAGTAGTGAATGGCTCAAGTAATAACATTTACCTAAAAAAATTCATTGATGAACACGAAAGTTCTGCAAGCAATGAAATGAATGAATCTACAGGTAATATCACAGGGGTAGTTAGCCAGTCGATAATAAGCAACGTTGGATCTGACAAAAATTAGTATTATACTAAGCTGCTAAACTTCACTGAATATAACAACGATTAGAAATTACCTGCAGGAGCATGATAGTTAACCCGATCAGAAGTTGAAATGCAGCATTTTTTGAATATATTTCCTAGATTATGCATCGATCATAGCAGTTAGAATGTTAGGGCAAAAAGGAACTAATCTTGAAATGTCTGTATTCCGAAAAATACTGGGAAAGTGGGTGAACTTAAGACTCTCTGAAGCAAACACATATTTGTATCCAAAAGAAAACAATTATCAGTCAACCAGAATCAGTAGCTTGGCTATAAATTCTTTCCCCAAAGTGATTAGATCATATTTCGATCAAACTCTTTGTCAGTTCAAACTAAAGCGTTACTTTTGATCACGTGAATTCAGCTAACCACGATTTTACACATCTTGTTTTTTTATTATAATCAATTTACATTATCGATGTCATTATGTAGTCCATGATGCCTCAGCACGATCCTTTTTGATTCTTGGGAACATTTTATTAAACTAGATAATCGATCCTAATACCTTACAGTAAGTTCCTTTGTTAGGGTTTTCATTTCAAACTACTGACAGTGATCTTTTCTAGAAATCAGATCATATTGATCTTTGTTTGTGGTTTTAGCATCTGCATATAGCAGATTACAAACAGCTGGTGAAGAAATAACCCAACAAAATGACGTTAAGTCGTTTTCCTGACCTTTTTGAGATGAAACTGACTTTAATTACTCAGTTAAATATGTTTATGTATAAGAAGCACTTGGGATTGATCTTTTATTAGGATATCACATTCGGATGTCAGTTGGATCAATAAAAATCCTAAATAAGTGATCGGAAAGAAATTTTACAGGCTAGTGAGGAAACACTAAAAAGAAATTATGATACTTTCTGAATATTATCTTATTAGACCACACGAAAACATACCTGCTCGGTAACCTGAGTTTACCTTCCACTTCACTTGTTTGAAAGCTTCATTAGTTGCAATAATACCTAGAGCACTAGCACGTGATACAGACCTCCAGTCACTAGAAATATCTACACCACATGTCCTGTAGACTTCGGACTCTACGAAAGACTTTTGTTTTTCTAATTTCTGATCATCGATGCTCCCAAAAACATGACTAGGTAGAAAAGAAAATTCATCTATGATTAATGAGAATTAACACAAAAATACTAAGTGTCTTTGATATTCCACATGATCCTCTTAAAAGGTTCTCCCATAATTCTGATACACTGAAACCCAAAGGTGTACAAACCCCTAAACCAGTTATCGCGACTCTCCGAACTCCCATGATTAAGAGATATCTAAAAATATAAATAGAGAATAACTTAGTCGGTGAAGCGAACTAAGAGCAAAACGATACAAAAACTAAAAACGGTGTTTTGTAAATCTATCAGTTACCCTCATTCTCTTAACCCATGAATCTGTATAATTTTTAGTATGATATCTTTTTGTATCATCATACAACAATACGTAGCTGTAATGGTTGTGGATATTAAAAAGCCTTTATGATTAGTAAATCTTTCACATTAAACTAATATGAAGAAAAAGGGGATGAATACGTGACACCAATACTGGCAAAGGAATAAAGTGAGAAATAATAAAACCTAGAGTGAAAATTATGAAATAATCTTATTCCAAGATGTAAAGGAAGGGAAAGTGGATGTTTCTGCTACAACGTAGTCCATTTGAGTCATATTATCTACATTTCTAAACCACTGGTTGACTATTTCTGTCTCTAATCAAGAAACTGAGATCATACTACATGATATAGACGACAGGTAAGTAACGTCATAGATTGATGCTATCGTGCTTTGAGAACTTCTAGCACAACCCATTTCGTCAACAGGCTGCAATCCTTTATCGAGTCTCTTCATCGGTGGCTGATAGCGATGTAGTCTAGTTGGGTCCAGCGTTGAGCAGATTTTGGGAGTCGCCAAGTCAAAAGATGTTTTCCCAATGTTTAAAGTCGATGTTTGCCAGATATAGGCAGTCATCTGATCATTGCTGAGGCAAACGGTCACCATTATCTGTTCGATGGGCGTGACACCATGAGGTCCACCCAAGTGTTTTTCATTTGTCCACCTACTTGAGTATTAAAGTCAACTGCCGTTATTACTACAACAGAGCGCATGACGTTTTAAGGGAGGTTGGAAACCTTCGCGTAAATTCATTTTTTACGTCATCTGACCTGCAATCGACGAGAGAGTGAGTAGGCACAACAAATCGGGCAACGGTGAGTGTTACTATTCTTCCGAGTCTGTAATGTCCCGCGAACATTTGTGAAGTTGAAAAAGCTATAGGAAATCTAAAGCGAAGGAGAGTAACAGGAACTAATAGGCTTAAGGATGATGGTCCAGTTTTAGCAGTTAGGTTGACTGAGATCGTAGCCAGAATCTAGGAACTGGACGTAATCCCATCTGACTGGTCTCAATCACTGATTGTCCCAGTCTACAAAAAAGGACAAAAGTCCTTTCGTGGCAATCACAGGGAAATGAGTTTAACTACTATAGTGTCTTCGATAATACTTCGACGCCTAATTAGAGCTCCAGACCGTAGCTGCTACGTTGACGTGGTGGTTGGGCTTGCCTATTGTGATGACCCAAACGAGCTACATTGGCTGGAACGTATGTTCCTGAAGGTTTTAACATGCAAGGCAGGTCAATTGAAGAACGATCAGACTAAAAGCAGCTACTCAAGGTCTGAGGGCGAAGTCGTACCGCATTCGATCGTAGGTGTCTTCGATGCATTTCTCGTACATCTTGGGACAATTGAGTAAGCAATAAAGTTGTTAGGAAACGAGTACTAAGTAAGGATGGCAGATCAATAGATGAAGTATCGGAATGTCATCAGTTGAGATGGTTGGGACATGTGTTACGTATACCGAACCACCCACTGCCTAGAAGATTGATGTTTTGTGGTGAAGGAGCAGGCTGGAAGAAAACTAGGAGTGATGAAAACAAAACATGGCACAAATCCATGAAATCACTGACAACTGGATTGAGTGATGTTCGTAGGTGTACACTACCTGGTTGGAGTCCACGAGATGATAGTAAGCGATGGTTAGAGACCTTGAATGACATGACTTGAAATCGTTTGCAATGGCGCAGGTGCATCCATTCTTTGTGTTCTCTCAAATTTTAATCTTCTGAATCTCTCATGATGTTTTCCGTTTTTAAATTTAATTCACTGAATGATACTTCTCGAGTCATATCTTCGAATCGTTTTCTATCACCACTAATACTTCTACTACCGACACTACTATGGGATTTGAATTGACAATCCCATCTTTCCGTGTTGATGTTGTATGGCGACTCAAACTGTATGTACAAAGTTCTAAGTTGTAGCTGGCTGAATGACATAGTATAATTGATTGTAGATTCTATAGTACTGTTCGCAGCATGTTACATTTGCAGTAAGCATTGTATATTAGCTGTTTTGTGTTCGAATTTCAAAGTTCAATATGCACAGATAAGGCATACTTGCAAAGATGCTGCCAGTCAGGCTTTCTTGCAGGACGCAAGGGAAAAAATACATAAGTGAGGATAGTGATAATTAAAACGCTAAATAATATAAATGAGTATGCTCTTTTATGCTCTTTTTATTCAGGTATCCTATTATTACTATTTTTCATCGAGTGCCATAAACTATTACCTGTATGTTTTCACAATAGTTATCGGATCTGTGTTCATTACACTATACACTATTACTGAGTCTAGTGACTGTTATAACATGAGGAATTTATTCATCAACGATAACTAAAGTTAACTAGGAAGAAGATTAACGCTTTCTGGAAGAACACCGAGTGAAAGCTCCAACTAAACACAAACAATCATCCGAAACGAAAAGAATATGATGGAAATTTATTCCCGATATGTGTATTTTATGAATTTTAATTTACAGTCTCATTCATGATTCATCAGTCTGCTGAAATATAGCTTTTGATATTAGGTGTTGACAGGGTAGGATATTTTTATAACGCAAATAAACTCTAATAGGATGTTTAGGTAATATTATTTTCGAAGAGTCGTTAACCTACTTCCCTAAAAACCCTTCTGCAAGTTAGGGTTTCGTACAAGGAAAATAAAATTATTAGGATTGCATTAGGTCTGAGGAATCAACTGCACATAACAGGGATAGAGGTTCATATACCGAGAAATTTCTGAACATTCTTCGAAAAAGTCCGCATAATTTCCCAAAAGAGTTGGAGAAATTTTATGGTAGAGTTAAAAGTGGTTACAGCGGCAGCGATCTGTTGCGCATACTATTTAAATAAACACTGTTGTATGACAATGTCTGCTAGTAACCAGAAAACTCGGAAATTGAGTTAAAAACTGGGTTGACTAGAAGCATAACAGTAAAAACCACCTTCAGCTCAAAATAACTTTGAGAAATCAACACTTACCTTTAGAATGAAGAATAAAATAGAGTATCAAAGAAAGCGCATATCGGCTTAGTGCATCGTAAAGTCAAGATTTTTCGAATCACGTGCCATAATGTAACGCAGATCGCGAAACTACCGCAAAATCAGTCTTCTTTAATGGGGGTGTGGGTCCAAAATCCAATACCTTTTTCACGAGCTAGTATAAATCAATCTTAGTCGTTTGATAAGGTTCCAGGTGTTTGTTATTGTCCAATGAATGTAAGTCTAGCCACTCAACTTACAACTTCTAGTCAGTTGGCAGTTGGTTGTGAGCTTGTGTGTCTCGGGATTTGAATGAAAACGTTTTTTTCAGGGCAGTAGGGATTCTGGATACCAGCAGCTATCAGATTACCAGACTGAAGATCAGTTAGTTGCAATGTGGAGAATAACAAGGGTAAAATCCTAATGCTAATATGAATAAGATCTGAGAACTAAATAAGTAAATATATAATTTAGTTTATTAATTGGTAGTGAAGATTGTGAGGGAGGACTGAAGTGTAAGCGAGGGAGCGGAAGCAGAGGTAGTAGGCGAGATAGATTAAGTTAGTCATCTGAGGAGATGGCAATCATAACAACTATCAGGTCTCAAGATATGCATCATTTACAGCCTGTCCAAGAGGGAGATGATGAGAATACATGATTACCAAGTCTCTTCTTAAAGCTGTTTACTGAGGGGGCTGTGGTCACCTCGGCTGGCAGAGTATTCCAGATTGCGATGAATCGCAGTGAGAAAAAGTTTACACGAATCTGAGTATTCTCTCTTTGATGTGCAATCTTTCGAGGATTGCCTCGAGGGGAGTGGTGGTGATGCATCGGTAAGATGCTCACGTTGGGATGTTTTGGCGTGCTTAATACGTTGTACGCCGTAATCAGATCACCTCTGATCCTCCTGTAGCTCAGTGGGAATAATCCCAAGTGTTTATCTTCGTAAGGCTTATTTTTCAACCCTATCACCCATTTGGTTGCTCGTCTCTGTACTCGATCCAAGAGATTTATGTCTCTTTTAAGGAGACGAGGTGCGATGACGTTGCAAACCTTCAGGTGCGGGCCCGTGTGTGTCTCAAATAATGTTAAGAATAATTACGGGGTGATAGCACCAAGCTGTCTTCGCATAAAGTGAAGGGTCGCACTTGCCTTGGCTGCGTCCCCTACACAGTACAGACTCGTGTGGAGGCTTTCTGTGGTTATTAAACCGAGACCGCGCTCTGAGGAGACATTAGGGAGCGGACTTCCATTGAGTGTGTAGATCGTTTGCGTCATGTGAGGCAGGAGATGCATGACGTGGCACTTCGGTTGGTTCAGTTTTAAACCGTTTTTCACTGCCCACTCCTCAATTGATGAAAGGTCCTTTTGAATCTCAGCCGAATCCTCTTCGCTTCTAATGGACCTCCAGATTTTCACATCCTTTGCGTTGATCATTGCCCGTGAGCTAACTGAGCCTAACAAATCGTTAATAAATACCAGGAAGAGAAGTGGACTTAAGATGGTCCCCCTGTGAAACTCTCAATTTTGAGACTCGCCAGCTTGCGTGCCTTGGTACGAAACGTTCTATTCTCACAGTAGTTTCTGAGCTAAGATACGAGTGGGTCAGTGAAGCCGATTTTCGCAACCTTCCCAATTAGGCGTGCATGAAGTTCTGTGTCAAAGGCTTTCGCAAAGTCAAGAAATATTATGTGCAACGGTGCTTTTCGGTCCAAGCACGATGTCTAAGTGCTCCATACTATTAGAAGATTGGGTGCGCATCACCTGCCTTTCCTGAACCTGAGTTGAGCTTCACGGAGTATTTTATTCTTATCTATGTATTCCTTCATCTGACCGATCACTAGCCCTTCCATTACCTTTGATAGTATTGGTAACAGGTTGGGTCCTTCCTATCTCCTCCTTCAAAGGTTGACGAAAGAGTAGCTTGTTTCCATTCAGCTGGGAATTGATGTGACTCCAGTGAATGCCTGAACAGGTCACATATCGCTGAACAGAGGACTTCTGCACATTGTTTCAAGACTATGGGGCGAATATCGTCACAACCTGTTGACTTTCCTGGGCGTAAGGATTTTAGTTTCCTTAGTACTAAGTCACGAGTAATATGGATATTCCCTAAGCCGTCAATCGGCATTGGATTCGCGTAGTATTCTGAACGTTTGGATGCTTAGTTTAAATGATCCGTAAAGTTTGTGTCGAAGATCTCAGCTATCTCTAGGTTGGTTAGGTCTTCCCCATTCGATACTTTTAGAGAACACAACCCCTGATTCATAGGTTTTCTTTTAGACGTGAACCTAAACAGATGCTTCGGGTTTGACTCTATTTTGGCAGCTAGCTTAATCCGAAAGTGTCTCCTATCACTTTGAACTTTGGTATTGCATCTGTTTCTCAGTGCCAAGTAAGAACTACGATCAGAATCCTTCAAGGATACCTTCCATTTGTGCAAGGCTCTCCTCTTCGCCTGTAGCAAGCGTTCAGTGCCGCGCCTAACCCATGTTTTTCAGTTACCGGTTGTGTGGTGTGACTGAGATCGATTGTCTAGGACAGCATTCTGGATGATGTCTCTCACTGTTCGCAAGTGATCATCTACTGTTAGCCTCCACCACTCCCGCGGCCGTGGGGCATGTAGGAGGTTCTTTCTCGTACGCGTATAATTTGCCCTAGTGTAGCTCGTTTTCGTCCAGCGCAAGTGTTTAGTTTATGACCGTGTTAAACAAGACGGTGCCATGGTCACTACTTTCTACGGGTATATGGACGTGAACATCCTCGAACAGGAGCTGATCATTTGTCAATAAATAACCCAGGTTTGAGGAGATTCCTTCCTTAGTCCATCTAGTGGCACTACATACGTGCTCAGTAAGCCCAGAGCTTCTGATGGCTGCTCCAAGTCGTCTTTCGAACATACTAGCTTAGAGCATCTGATCAAACCCCAGGATTGGCATTTGCAGTATTGCCTCAGTCAGTTTGTTTTTCTGGGATTTATTACTTGAGGGGGTTTGCTAAATCCACCCAATCAAGTATTTCGTGGTATTTGTATAGAAACAACACCAACATGATTTTGTCACCTCGGTTGGTTGGGTGTCGTATGGCCGTCCGGGTTTTAAATGGCTGTTTACATGTATATTCACTCCGCTTCCTGTCCGGTGTACCCTATCGCTTCGGAAGAGTGTCATGCATTCCAAGCTCACTTCGTCGTCTGTAATATCAGGGGATAGCCATGTTTCAGTTAGGATTATGATCTTCGGATCTATCTAAGAGCGTCTATTCCTGATTTCTAACTGCTTGCCCCTTAGTCCTCTTACGTTGCTATAGAGGCACTTGGTAGTTTTTCTCACTACCTGGTGCACCTCTGTAGCAACAGCCGTTGTCGGATTTTCAAAAACGTTTTCATTTCCGTGGGACCTAGCTTCTGCAGGATTTTCGTCTGTGCACTGAGTTCTTTCGGCGAGGCTATTATCTTCGTGTCTTGTGCCGTGTATTGTTGATCGAGGTCAACTGACAAGTTTGTGCTTTCATTGTTGCCACCCTGCTGTTGTCTCACCGATCTGAATCGGCTTTCTCAGCAACTAATATGGCTAGAGAGATTGTTCTGTGAGCTGTACTCAGCCTGAAGCGCCTCAGTTAGGTCTTACCGAGTTCTGAATTCTACTGCCATCAGTCGTCATGACTTAATGGACGTGAGGTGTGGCGGGTGAGCCAGTCAAGAAATGTAAATTGCCACTGTGGTGCGAAGGCTCAGGTTACGTGATAGCCATCATCACATTTGCATGGCATGCGCGTGAGTTATATCAACGCTTTCACTAGCCAGTTTGGGCACGCCGCGAATTTCCACACTGGTCCGCTCTTGTGTGCCATGTTACACTGGCTGCAGCTTGTCCTGACCACGGCTGACTCGGATCAGGGAGAAAAATTTAACGGAGGGTCTCTGTACCCCTTTATTCATACCTCTACAGGTTTTACTAGTTAATAAAAATTATAATTTTTTCTCAAATAACATCAAGTTACATAAGGCATGCCAATTTACAGACAAGATCAAAATGTAAAATCGCCACCATATTTTCTGTAAAAGGTTGTGTGGGAGTGACTGAATGTCCCAATCTGGTGTCCAAAACTGGAGGGAAGTCAACAAGGACACGTCACTTTCGATGCGCGCGCGAAGTGATACGCTTTTACACAAACACCAGAAAGCCTTGTACACACCTTATTTAAAGAACATTTACCAATGAGTTGTCCGCTTCCAATACACTTACTTACTTTTTTATTTTATGTATTGTCTGGGAGTGGGAACGAGGGAAAAATGCCTATGTTTGAGATCACTTTTAAAAAGAATCAACGCTGCATAAGTGAGTTTTCACTACTGTCAGAATCTTCGAATACTCCTTCAGTTTAGTCAATCTAAAGTTAATTTTCCTTTTTGGCTAATATTACTAAACGTAGTGAGAGACGATGGACAGACGACGAGACGACAGAGTTTATAGGCCGCCATCTGCAGGCGTTTTCCAGACGGTTGAAGAGGTTGTAGTTGTTCGAGTTGGGGTTGACTAGGAACACTACTACAAACCAATTACGCCCTGGTCTTTACTCGTCCTGTCGTGAATCGAAAACAGGGAAGAATAGACAGCCCAGCTGAAGGAGTATATTTGCCGGCTATTTCGTTGTATGTAAATATAAATGAAATCGTGCCAGAGAAAATTGGTGGCAGGTATAGGGCAGCAAAGGCAAGATGGCACCCATGCAACAGGATAGTGTGTTACGGAAGTGTGAATAAACAATAAGTTCAGCAAAACAACCACTGTTACCATTGACTATAATAAAGAATGTTTATATTTAACCAATCGCGTTTTCTCCGTAAAAGTGAAGTCACTACAAGTTTACGAAACGAGTTTGAATAGGGGTACTGCGTGATCGTATTCAGAATTTGTACACAAACTGATGCACCATATGCTTGAGAAGCTTAGGGAGCGTTGTAGCTACGTCGTGCAGTCCTCCAATCACCTTGTTAGATTAACAGTCATATTGCTTTTACTTCAGCGACCAGTAGACGAATGACTTTTAACAATGAGGAGCATGACTTGGGAAGTGAAATCTCATTTCGCAATCATTTTCAACATATTCTTCATCGTGG